TCTTTAGCAATAAATAATAATGCTAATGTAAGCCTGAAATACTTGGAAGAGATTAAAAAATATTTATTCAATTACAAATATACTTTAAAAAATAATTTTACCATTATTCACTGACGCTAGAAAACATAGGAAATACAACAGTAATTTATTGTTGTCTAATACGACAAAATAAAATATGCAACAGTAATTTATTGTTGACAAAATGGTTTTTGTTTGCATAAATTGAAAATATGGAAATGAAATGAATGAAAATGACAAAATAGAAAAAAAGTTCTAAAATAGCTTCATTATATAGCCAAAATATTGCATAAATTTTAAAATTATATTTAAAATCAAATAAATCATTACGAAGACATCTCAAATTTATATCGAAAACTAGCTGTAAGTGGAATTCTGTCTTAAGGCAATTAGGGCATCGTGCCTTAAGGCAAATTGCGGGAACTTCCCGTACCAAAAATTATTATTTTTTTAAAAACGATTAACATTTTTGAAAAAAAATTACTTCGAAATAATTATTGAGAAACTAGGAATATGACAAAAAATTACTTTTTTTTGAAAAAAAAATTTTTATTTGAAAAAAAAAATTTTTTTTTGAAAGAAAATTTTTTTTTTGAAAACAAACTATTTTTTTGAAAAGAAAAATGTTTTCTTCATTTTGACATATTTGGAAATTCTGAACTTTTTTTCAAAGCAATCGTAGTGCTTGAACTGCATAGAGACGAATTGTCACAGCGCAAGTGCCGCGCCGCCGTCTAACGCATAAACATTGGTACGGAACCCATAGAAATGTAAAAAAAAATTATACTTATTGTTAAAATTTCTATACAATATCTGATAATTTGATGTGCATATGTCTAATCATCATTTTTAACCGCCAAATGGCATTTTTTTTTACTTTTTTCATTAGATCTCCGAAACCGCTAGACCTGCCTTCATGAAAATTTTATCAACTCTTCATCTTGCCAATACAAGTAAAATGTTTTCACTGAATTATTCAAATCGGACGCTCCGTTCTCTTAAAAACTGACTTACCGTTTTCGGCACTTTTTGCCCCGTATCTTCGGAACGGCTAGACCTAACTTCGCCAAAAACTAATCAGCACGTCTCCTTATCAGTACGAATCGAATGTTTTTTGAATTATTCAAATCGGTTGATCCGTGTTCCCGAAATCGTCGACGAAAATTTGTATCCGCACATACATACACACACATACATACACACACACACACACACACACACACACATACATCCATTTTTTTCTAAGGTATGCCAAAATATACAAAAACCTCTAAAACGTAAAGATATATAAAAATTTTCATTTTCGATTTTTTTGCGATTACTATAACTTACCCTACGGGAAGTTAATTACAACTAAATAAGATGTCTGATTTGAGGTTTCAAAATTTTCCTAATCAATAGTAAATAAATGATAGCTATCTTTTTCCTCAAATAGTAAGATTTTTTTTACTTTCATGATACCAGAACGTAAACTTAGTGCTCGAAAAAAAAATAGTAAAAATTAATACGTATTCCTTGCAGTCTAAATAAAAGAGATCTAAAGAAAAGAGAATACAAACAAATATTTTAAAAAGTATGTTATTAAAAAAATACTTGTGACAATAAAGTAATATGAATTATTAGAAGATGAACATGATGAACGTATTTCAGATCCGCATAAAATAAATAATTTTCGCAAATGAGGATAACACAAGTCATTGGATAAATAATTTAAAATTGCTGAATTGTTATACAAATATCGATACATACAGAATAATAACCATTTAATATTAATTTTCACAAACGTTTCAAATTGTTATAACAAAAATCTTACTTGTCAATATTAAGGAAAATGGTGAACATCAATATATATGTATAATAAAAACCACAAATGCTAAGTAAAATATTGATTAAAATTTTCGGGTGCTATGATGAAAAAGGTGATAATTGTAGAAACATATTTAAAAAAAAAAGAATTTTTTACACACAAAAATTTCATTAGCACAAAAATTTCATTAGCAATTTTACAAAATTTTGATACATTTTCATAATTACTATTGTATGTATTATTTAAAAATATTATTATTAAAAGAATTGGAAAAACAAATTAAAATTTTCCCTTCCTCTGATAAAAAAATCAATATATATGTAATAATGTTACTTATATATAAATTTTAATTATTTATATTTAGTCATCGAAAAGAAGACATTGACATCTAGATTTTTATAACTCATCATATTTTAAATAAATTTTAAATACAATTATTTTTATTTTATTACAATTTATTTTTACGATCGCGACGGGAGTGGAAAATGGAAAACTATGTCAGTAAATTTATCAATGTGTTTATTGAACAAATTTAAGTATAGGATATATAAGTATTTATCAAATCATTCAGAAATATTTTGCTCATTTTAGAAAATTCAGGAAAAAATAAAATTTCTAAATAACTTTAACAACTATAATTATTAAACTAAAACAATATGTTTTAAAAAATTTTTAGTTATAATCCACTAAAGCCAAAATTAAATTTTATTTTGATTGATTGGAGACGTAATTAAAAAAAGCATTATAAAATACGGTTCTTAATATGCATATTCTTTTTATTTTATTTTTTTTTTAATAATTTTTATAGTTAAAATAAGTTAATAGGGATAATATGAGCAATTTTTTACAATAAAATCTTATTTTCAAGACACAGTTAAGTAACTGTATATGATGAAATTATATATTGAAATTATGCAAAACAACAGAGCTTTATATTTAAAAAACTGATATGAAAAATTGGTCTAAAGGAATTGAAGTAAAATAAATAGACCATAAAAATACGGTCAAATGAACTAAATGATATTAAATAGCCAGTAAAAGTTAATAAATCAAGTAAAAATTATCAATTTCTTTATTAAACTAAAACAACTGTTAACTATTAAATTTTGATCATAATCCATCAAAGTACAAAAATTTATTTTGATTGATTGGAGATCAACAAAGCATTATACAATATGACCAAGGACTAAGAGAATTGGAGTAAAATAAATATACTATACATTTTAACCATCGGTAAAATTTCTAAAAACATACAAAAATTTAATTGTGTTGCTGAATGAAAAACTTGTAGCTTTTTCTTATTAATCAAAATTACACAAAAGCTTACAATGCGATAAAGAAAAAGATTTTTTTTTAAATCATGTGCATTATAAATAAATATAATTTGTTTTTATTCGTTAGTCGAAAATAATAGACAAATAGACAGGTTGTAATTGAAACGAGTCTTTACTAGCAGCATGTTACTTAAAATCACGAAGAAAAGTTATTCAAAAAAAATCGAAATAAATAAATTTAAAAAGTCAAACCATCCATCCATTTTTGAAATCACAATTTTAAAAATTAAATTAAACTAAAAAACTTAAAAAACATATAACATATTGAAATGCATCAAGAGCAAGGCAATTGACAAAAAAATATTAAATATCTTTTTTGAAATTGGTCTAATATATTTTTTTAAATACTGAGACTTTTTGTTTTAATGACAAATATATTTTTCCTTTTAGTAAAGAAGCCTCCTTCGAATAAGCAGTTTTAATAATTACCGATGTGTGGAAAATTTACTGTGCATTTATAATAAGATTTGAATAAAAATTACATATGTAATATGCAAAGATCGAGGTTTTCGCAATGTTGTTTCATTAGATTACATATCAGGTATGTAAAAGAACTTATATATTAAAATACGTGATTTATTTTAGAACAATATGTCTAACAATGAAGAAAAATATTGCCCTGCAGTACTAAATTGTAATGTAATGTCAATAATTATGATCGTAATGTCAGTTAGAGCATCAAATGTGTTTGCTATATCAAAAATTCCATTTAAGAAGGTAAATTATAAGAAAGTTAATATCAAATATGGAAACAAAAAAAAAATATGTCAATGAGAGCTATAAAAAATCAGATAGAACAAAATCCCACTTGTTCGACGCAAATAGCTGACAAAAAAATCAGTTATATGTTATATTATATTTTTAGTTCTGATTCTATTTTTATAATATATGTATATTAAGTATAAGCACTTGTTTGTTTACTCTAAGAGTTCTTGTAAAAGCATATTTGTGATTGAGTTAGGATGTATTTTGAACCATGTACTTTGTTAGCATTTCTTATCTTGAGACCATATTTACTATATTATATATTTAATTTATAAATCAAGATATAATTAGATAAAATGACTCAAGATAGAACACTTCTGCAATATAACCAAGCCATTTACTAAACTTTTAAAAAAAAAAACTTTCAGGAATGAATTTGAAAAGCTAAAAGCATTTATAAAAAAATTGAGATAAAAGATTTAGACCAATTTGTGATTGTAAAAATAAATATATGCATAATAGAACAAATAATGAATTTTAGTTGCAATTAGTAGATTTCTTTATCAAAATTTAATGTGTAACAGATATAAGAAATATATATTATATTATATTATATTATAATGAAAGTATAGAATTAAAATTAAGGTAAAAAAGCAGTCGATATATTTATCTATAAAGGCATTATTTGTAATTTTTTGCAATTCTTATGTAGTTTGCATTGTTGCGTTGTTGTGCTTTTATTTTACAACAAAAATTATTGCGTGAGGAAATTAGAAAAACTAATGACAAAACTGCATAATATATTGAACTAGATAAAACAAGTGAAACAAATAACATTTAAAAATTCGAGCCTCATATGCTCAAGTTTATTTAATGCATTTCGAGTGAATTCAAGTAGATGAAAAATTACATTCAAAACTCACAATTTAAAATACATTTAAAAATGCTTTGTTAATGTAACCAAGTGATAACGATATATTTAATTGATTGAGACAAATGGCTCATCATTTATAACAAAAGCTAATAATTAATTAATATTAATTATCAGTTAATACTGATAAAAAATGCATCCGTCTAAGAATTTATATTATCTATACAGTTTTAGCTATAGACAAAATTACAAAAGTGGCTAACAACTAACCTTGAGAGCAATCTGCCCCAGTCCAATGTCTGTCGCAAACACATTGACCACTTTCCAAATCATAAACCCCATGTTCGGAGCAACCTGGCAAGCACTGATAAACTTGTTCATCGACATTTCCGCAATCTGGACCTTGCCATCCAGCTTTGCAGTAACATTGACCAGCGACACATGTTCCATGATTTGAACAAGTTGGATCCAAACAATCTTCTACAAATGCAATATTAAACATATTAGAGAAAAACCAAAGCAAATATTCGTATATTTGCATCTCAATAAAAAATCCTAAGAATCATTTTTTACTCCAATTTTGGTTTTTACTTATTTATTTATGGCTAAAAAAAAACTCTGAAAACATATTTTAGCTTCTACCGTGCTCAATAATAGTATATACGGTTATAAATGTTTATAGTTTTAAGTCTGCTAAATCAGACCATTAATTGTTTAAATTCTTAATTTCTAAAGTATTATTTAAAAGCCAAGTAAACAAATTTTCAAAACATAAGTTAGTGAAGAAAAACGGTAAGGCTTCCAAGTCGTACCCTGGCAATATATTAAATTATCGTTCATCATCTGGTACCGTTATACAGAACTATTCAAATGTTTACACCCTTAATAATTATGCGATTCTAAAAATTGTTTCTTTAAATTTTTATTATTTATATTACTTAGTAGACAACAGTTTAGTCATGAATAATTATTAGACTTTATATAGGTAATTGTCATTAGTTTTATTTTCAAACTTTTCACAGAGTTAACAAAAATCTTATTTTTGCGGGAAAAGGCCATAGGTGGCACGACTACGGTGACAACGCAAAAAAAATACATATTTAAAAAAAAATAGAAAGTGCTAATCACAATTCAACTGAATCAAATGCACTAAATATTACCACATTATTTCCTCAGAGTACGACTTGCAACCTACCCTAATTGTAAAATATAATAGATTATATATAAATAAAAGTACTCGTTGAAGAAAGACATGAAAAACCAGCTCTTAGTCTTTCATATCAATCAATTTATATTCTGACTATCGATAAAAAGTATAATGAAAAAAAAGATTCTACATAAAAGTAGCGAAAAATTGTACATATTATTTAAAATACAATTACAATAATCAAATGACGATAATTAAAACTTCAAATTCACCTAATTCACAACGTGCTCCTTTCCATCCTCGTTCACAGGTGCATTCGCCTTGTTTGCAACGACCATGTCCAGAACAAGTCGGGTCTTCACAATCATGTTTTGGCACATCACATTCAGCACCTTTCCAACCTTCTTCACAATGGCAAATACCACCTCCGTATTGTCCATGAGAAGAACATAATACAGGACAAACACCTGAATAAAATGATAGATGTTTCATTATAAAAATATAAATATAATAAATAAGTTGACTTAGTCAATAACACTTTTGCTACAAATGTCGTCCATGGACTACATCCCCCCATAACCTGCTGTGTGTACGAATGTCGTCCATGATTTATCACCGAGTTAAACTATTAAAAATTCTCGTCTTCTATTGTAATTTCTAGTTCGCAGTTAATATTTTTTAACTTTCTTATATCATACAATATATCGTTCTGGGCACGCTGTTTCGTACAGCAGCGGGACTTCTGCAGAAAACACTCTCGTAGCAAAAGGAATAATATAAAAATATTTTAACACGTGTTTTATATTGCTAATTTGAGAACTAAAATATTTTGTTAAATACAATAACAAACAATGCATGCAAAAAATGACGAGTATTTAGTGCTTCCGAGATGACAGATACTGATTAATTAAAAATGCAACTCCAAAGTACTTCAGTGCTATTAGATACATAACTCAATCTTGGAAGTCACTCACAACAAAAATAGCAGAATATATGAAAAACAAATGATTATTTACAGAGTTAATAAAAAATCGAAGGCAATTTCAACATTGAATTGTTATATGAATAGTTCGAGACATTATTCAGTGAATAGCTCAATGTAAATTAATTAATATTTGTATATAATGCCATATCGCACTATTATACTATTATCGAATCTTAGAACAATATAATCATAATATCATATAATCCATATGCTAACAAAGCTAGTGCAATATAAAAATCTATTTAAATTTACAACATAGAAAAAAATATTGAAGACGATACGATAATTCGAGAAATGAAATAATTAATAGCTAATTAAGAAGTCAATGCAAATTAATAAAGTCAAAAACAAAATTATATTATCAGGTCAAAAATAATTGTCGAAATAAGTAGATAAAAAATAAAATGAATTTGTGATAAAAATAAGTATTAATTGTTCAAAATAGAAAAAGTATATTATAATTAATATACTATTAAAATATTAAAAGACATTGTTTTAAATGCTTAGAAATACAGCTAAAGCTTATTTAACTGATTACTGAATGCCATTTGGCGATCAAAAATGAAAATACAATATTTAAATATATACATAAAAATAGAATTATAGATATAGTATACAAAAAATTGTTTCTGAATATGCGTATGAAAGACAATTATTATTATTATAGTTACGGTTTTGTGCTTAAAATTTACTATTATTATTGATTGTTGTTCAGATACAAAGAGTAAAAATAAAAAAGCTTTTATGTAACTGAAATATTAAAATGCATCTAACTGAAGATTTTTTATACTAGAATTATAAATGTTGTAAAAATAATAAAAAATAATTCTAAATATTCTTTTGCGTGCTAATTTCTAATTATAGTTACGTGTTTGTAATCAAAATAACGGTTATGAATAGTAAACGCAAAGTCGTCATAATTGATCAATTCTAGATAACAAAATTTATACGAAAGGCCATCTCTTCTAAATTTAAGTGGCATCTAAAACTGATTGTCGATTTGTAAACATTAATATTGTAAGATTACTTGAATCGTTCAAAATTCAATGAATTTAATATATAACCGAACGGCCAAATTTCTGAAATCTTATTATAAGTAATATGTAAATTGTTGAAATTATTTCTCTACCTTGTCATTAGAAAATAAATTTTATAGAAAAGGCTAACTTCTAGTGTAATAGTGGCTAAAATATATGTTGTCGATTTGTGAAAATTGGAAATTACAATAAATTACTTAAATTGTTTAAAATTCAATGAATTTAAGATATAACTGAACGGCCAAATTTCCGAAATCTTATTAAATGTAATATTTAGAGATAGTTGAAATTATTCCTTTACTGCATCATTAAACAAAATAAATTTTATAGAAAAGGCAAACTTCTAGTGTAATGGCTAAAATATATCTAGTGGACTTGTGGTAATTGAAATTTACGATAAATTACTTCAATCGTTCAAAATTCAATGAATTTAATATATAAGCGACTGGCAAAAATTCCGAAATATTAAAAATAATATGTAGACGGTTGAAATTATTCCTTTACTTCGTCATTAAAAATAAATTTTATCGAAAAAGCTAACTTCATGTGTAATAGCTAAAATATATCTAGTAAATTTGTGATAATTGAAAATTACGATATATTACTTTAAGTATTCAAAATTCAATGAATTTATATAACCGACTGGCCAAATTTCCGAAATTTTAAAAGTAATATGTAGACGGTTGCAATTATTCCTTTATTTCGTCATTAAAAATAATTTTTATCGATAAAGCCAACTTCAACTGTAATGGCTAAAATATATCTAGGCGATTTGTGATAATTGAAAATTACGATATATTACTTTAGTCGTTCAAAATTCAATGAATTTAATATATAAGCGACTGGCCAAATTTCCAAATTTTAAAAGTAATATGTAGACGGTTGCAATATTTCTTTATTTCGTCATTAAAAATAAATTTTATCGAAAAAGCTAACTTCAAGGGTAATGGCTAAATATATCTAGTCGATTTGTGATAATTGAAAGTTACGATATATTACTTTAATCGTTCAAAATTCAATGACTAAATGACAAATTCCCGAAATCCTAAAAGTAATATATAGACAGTTAAAATTATTCCTTTACTCCGTAATTAAAAAATAAATTTTATAGAAACAGCTAACTTTAAGTGTAATCGTTACAAAAATATATCTAGTAGATTTGTGATAATTGAAAAATACGATAAATTACTACAATTGTTCAAAATTCAATGGATTCTATAAAAGTAATATGTAGACATTTGAAATTATACCTTTACTCTGCCATTAAAAATAAATTTTCATAAAAAAAGTTAACCAAGTGTCATGGTAGCCAAAATATATCTTGATTTGAGAAAAATAAAAATTACGATAAATTACTTGAATAGTTCAAATTCAATGAATTTAATAAAAGTAACACGTATGGGCATTTGAAATTATTCCTTACCTTCGTCATTATAAAATGAATTTTATAGAAAAAAAACTTCTAGTGTAATGGTGGCTAAAATATATCTTAGAAGACACTTGGAAATATAGATAGCAAGAAATATAGATGTTTCCAAATAAAATAAGGCTTGCATGGCACATTGCACTATTACAAAAATGGTAATTATAATAATTCATCACACAGAGATGAGACAACTGTTTGGGTTGTCATCTGTAAAACCGACTTATATTAAGGCAAAACAGTACAAGTTTAACTTAAATGTTCTGATTGTTGTTCAAAAAATTATTGCAAAAAAATATATTTTAACAAAAGACCTTCAAAATTTTTGCAAATGCTTACTCTTAGAGCAATCAGTTCCTTGGAAACCATCAATGCAATCACATTTTCCCAAATAACAGGAACCTCTCCCCGAACAGTCATTTGGACAAGTGGTGCTCACACCTTGAGCCTCTGTGACGACCAAATTGACAGTATGCGCTAATAATTCGTCATTGTAGACGGCCAGAAACCATCGGCCTGTGTCCAAATATTGCAGCAAACTAACATTAACCATGTTACTAGAGTCAATTGATCTTTTGTAAATTATGTGAAGATCATCTCTTGGAAGTTCGGTGTCTGGTTTTGGATTCGCCGATGGCGATTCGGTCATCGCATCATCTTCGAATGGATATTCATCTCGCGCACTGCGTTGATTTTCTTGCTCATCATTATGCTCATTAAAAATTTCGATACTGATTCTTTGTGATGAATTTGTATCCCGCTTCCTTAACCTTGAAAAAAAAACATTTGGTTTAAAAAATATTAAAACATTCATTTAAGAAAAAACAATATAATTGATTACATGCAAAAACAACTTACAAAAGTGAACATAATTATATCTCATGAATGGATGATTACATGCCTACTAACTTTATCAATTACGAAAAAATTTAAAGGGTTTTTAAAAAATGTCTATATTTGAATTTAATACAATTATGAGAATGCATTTTATACAATTATTCTAAATAAAACATTATTACCATATAATTGTTACATTACACCAAAAAATTTAGCATATGACTGTTAATAAACGACTACTTGACAAAAATGACGAAAAGATTTAGCACAACATTTAGTACGATATCAAATTCATATTTAAAATTCTAAATTTTATATTCAAAGTATTTTATAGCTAGACTGATATCGCGACAAAGGTATTATATACGACCTATAATTAAATGACAAAGAATACAAGGTATACTATTTGAATTGTCAAAAATTAGCGAAATATAAGATTATATAAACTTTATGAACATTTCGAAATATGGGCAGTGCTTTATTTTAAGTGTATTAATAATAAAAAAATAAAATAAATGAAATTTTCGTTAATATTTGGTTGTGATTGAATATAAAATCTCATATCATTGAGTATAATTATCTCATATAAATATAAAACTGAATGTTAAGGTATTGAAATTCTTATCTTCAAAATAACTAAAATACATTACCTACGTTCAAATAGATTTTTTATTTAAGGTTTCATACCTTCCAAAATAATCCGAAGTGAAATGAGACACAAATTTGCACGGCTTTTTTCTGAATTATTATGTAAAAATATTAAAAAGCACAGAAATAGTAAAAGCATCAAATAAAATAGCATGTACGTGGTGGTTTTGTTAAATAATCGATCCAATAAAGTTTTCTTAAAATATAACCTTCGAAAATAATCCAAAATGAATGAGACACCAAGTTGCGCGGATTATTTTTTTGAATTATTATATAAAAATATGAAAAAACACAGAAAATAATAAAAGCGTCATAGAAAATAATATGTACCATTCGTATTTTGTTAAAAAGATGTTCGATCAAATACGATATATTTTATTAATATTTTTTTTAAAAAACGAAATAAATCTTCAAAGAAATCGCAAGTGAAATGATACACGAATATTTATCTGAATTAACATATAAAATATTAAAATGTAAAATAAGTAATGATAGCCTTGAACTAAATGATATGTTCCAAAATATCTTCTAAAAAAAAGTGAAA